GGGAAGCAGAAGAAAAAAAAGCACAAGTTAATAGTCCTGATACGTAAAACTCAATGCGAATTTATTTCCAACAACTATAAATACATGAAAAATTACTTTGAAATGCCATTACAGGTACTGGAAATAAATTGAAACAACAGAAATAGGCGAAAAATTTCAAATATTGGAAGGTAAAAATAAATAATATAAAAGATCAATAAAACAAATACTCACATATAAGAAGAGCTTGGTGGAGGAGCACTTATTTGTCCCTAAAAATAGAACGGGATGACTCGATAAGCTTAAAAACAAAGAACGAAATACTTCATGCGTTTTGATTCCAACAACTACTTCCACACAAAATTAAGAAAAATCTTAAATCCTTTTTTGATACTAATAATAGATCCATACATCTGCAACATCAGAATATTCATTATCTTCCTCCATCTCCTCATCGGCATAACGAGAATTGTTTTCTTCGTCAGTATAACGAGAGTTATTTGGCCGATCATTTCGGTCGTTCAGCTCTGAAAAAGGTAGAATATCACCAAGAGAACTTCTTCAGAAATATGACCAAATCAAACACAAAATATTAAAACTGGGACTTTTTGCGAGTTTTATGAAATAAAAATTTTCGAAATGTGTCTCATCGGCTCAAGACAAGTCCTGTGTTCAAAGAACTGAATAAAAAAAATTTAATAACAAGTCGTACACTAATTTAAAAAACTGATAAACAAATGGAAGCGGAAAAAAAAGGTATAAAACAAATTAAAGCTAATTAATGTCTCCAGTCTAATTTCCTAACTGCGCAAACTCTCACATTACTCAAAGTTATTGGTATAATAAAAATCACTCCAAAATGTTCATTGCTTTAAAATATAAATTAAAAAATGTCTCTGTGACTGGCTAGTGTAAACAGCCAATAATATAATATTTATAACAGTGATATTGATGACAATTATAATGATAGTAACAATGACAATAATAATAATAACAATGATAATAATAATAATAATAATAATAATAATAATTATTATTATTATTATTATTATTATTATTATTATATTATCATTATTATTACTAGAAAAAGCAAAATATCAGCTTAAAAATGTGTACTTTCCAATAAACAACTATTTACCCTCCTTTTGCCTACCTTGTTCTAGCTGACTGGATAAAAACAGATCTTCAGCTACACTTCACTCCAGCACTAACTATAAGCAAAAATCCCAAACAACTCTCCTAATTTTCAGAAAACACAATTAAAGATGCAACAAAATAATATGACGGTAAAACAAAATTTAGGCTTTTATTCTGTTGCTAATGCAAAATGCGTTGATAAGTCGGCGTTGATGATATCTTTTTATACTAGATGTTTTCACACTCAGACTGCCACACAACAGTTGTCATTCCCAAAAAAAGATTAAACTGTTAGAAAGAGAAATTGTGAACAACAACAAAGTTCTCTCTGTGACCAAAAATCAAATCTCGACACTACGCAATTATTAGAGTATCATTAAATCTCGACATATTTCTTGTATAGCATTGCCATTACCCAGTTACACTACCTACCACCTATAATATCAAATTCTATAAGCCCTAAAGATTTCATCAACGCTTTTCTAGTTTAAAATGAAAAAACCCGTTTCCTAACAAACATGTTGTTACAACGAAATTTCATTTTACCATTTCAACAAATTCGATATGAAAACTAGTAAAATTTTCAAAAACTAGACAGTACCACTACAACTTACTATCACCTGCGGTCAATCGCCATGACTGTTTGCTTCATTTTTTCAAGTAATCCCTTCTTATTATTTTTTTCTGTAGAAAAAGTGAAAAAAGAAATGGTAAAAAAAATAATCAAAAACACCTACAACATGACATCCTTTTCATTCTGATAAGAAAACAAAATAAACCTCGAAACAACAAAAATTTTTCAGTCTAACCGTACCTAATGCAAAAATATGAATAGATGCGAACGAAAACAACTATTTTCGTAGATTTATTTATCGCATCTATTCATTAAACACGACTGTATCAGCCATTTTCACCTTCACAACTTAAAATGATCACTAAATGTAATCTGCCAACAAAATTGGGCTTACTGTTCGCTGATTAATAGTATTTAACAAAAATTTAGTCTTTATTTCGCTGTAACCGCAACTGCTTGTAACGCACCTACGCATCTCATCGCAAATTAGCTAAAATATTAAAAGAAAAACAGTAACTCTTGCAAAAAATTTCACTTATAGGATGCAAAGATGAAATTTGCTTAAAAATTACTTGTATAAGCAAGAGTAAAAGAAAACTGCAGCTAGACGTAAGTCAAAACAGTTTTCAAATAAAAACCTACAATACTTCATAATGCACTAGTGCAATCAGATCTACACCCATTTTAAAAGCCATGTCTCACGAATTTAATTTTTTTTTCATTAGTGTCCAAGAATTTTCAACACAAATATTTTAAATGGTCATCCTGCTTAAGATTAAAGAAAAAAAAAGAAAAGAGAGAACAAGGCACATCAGTAAAATGTAGGAACATATACTATAAAGAAAAAGAAATGAAACTAAAAGAGCAAAAAAAAAAAAGATAGAAAACATCAAAAAATCCCATTACATTTGGAAATTGTCTGTAAAAATTGCACTAGAACCTACGCAGCGATGATTACAACAAATATCGGTTTGTATGAAGACATTTTCATAAATACATGAGGACTACCCGGAATAATTAATGTTTTATTTTACTAACAACTGAAACTGCTTGACAGGAAGAAACGCTAAAAAATATGGGGGAGTAACCACAAGACTTCATAAGTCACCATTCCACGTCTTTAAATTCAAAAAGACAATAATATAAACTTTGAAATGAAAAAAAACCCCACCCTTTCAAAAAGAAAATGAGAGAAAAGGCCGTGTTTATCAGCCTCCACAAAGTTACAAATTTATTGGTTCAAGAATGACTCCACAATTTCACAACCTTCCTATAACAACATTATGGAAGAAATTTCTTAACTTGATGACTTGCTACTATCATAAAAACAAGGCCCAGTTTAAAATTTTCTCACAAGAAAATTAAACTGTACAGAAGCAGTGATTATGAAAGCTCACTCATGCAAGCTACACAGCATCGAGACTGTTAAGTAAACTAAAAATGAGTAAAAAATGATGACAAAAAAAAAAAAATAATAATAATAAGTAAATAAATAGATAAATTTGACTAACCAAGTTCGAAAACACCAGCCATTGTCAGTAATATTTTTAGAGTTTTTTTTTTCAAGCAGTCAAATAAACCCTGATAATTCGTGCACCACAACAAGATGCAAGATAAGTGACAAATTTCTTGCTGTACCACTTCTTTCCCTTTTCTTCCACTTCTCCTCCCTTTGCGTCTACGACACTGATACTACTTTCACTTCGGGAAAACGAATTGAATTTCCGACAGACTCACAAGATTGCGTGTAAAGGGTCGTTGGATTTTTGTTCAGTTGAACAACAGACGATTCGCTTACTTCACTCTTATTATTTTTGGTAACAAAATTAGCAGTTACAGCAACAGGAGCAACAGTAGTAGCAGCAACAGCAATACCACCACCACCACTACCACTAACAGCAGTAGCAGTAGCAGCAGCAGCAGCTAAAAAACAGTTTGTGGAAAGTAGACAAGCCGACGAAGACGACTTTGCCTTAGGCCGTCCGGTAATGGTTCCAAGAATGCACGCAAACGGCAAGAAAGTCACTGAAAAGAACTATCCGTCATAAATTTTGTAGGTAACGACAAGAATAACAGCTATAAAAACAATAATAATGAGAGTAAGCACACTATAACACCTCAACCAACAAAAAAAAAATGCAGCAAGAAAAAAATAAATCACGCCCAAAAAAAAGGAAAAAAAAACAAGATAAAACAAAAAACAATAATAGTATCAAACAGGAGCACAAAAAGTTCTCGCTCTGACGCAAGCCGGTCACAGCGGAAAAAGCCCAAGGTGGGACTACTGCCGTGTACCCCCTTTTACCGAAAACCACAAGCAGACACACATACACGCACACACAGACATACTCATACATTCTTTCGCAAACACGTCGACACCGACAACATACATATAAATATATATATAAATAAATAAATAAATAAATATATATATATATATATAAGTATATATGCATATATTTATTTGTTTACTTATGTTTTTATTTATAAATATAAAGACACCAAAGCAAAAACACATAGACACACTAAAAAAACAGACTGCCTAAAACAGTGGTTACTCGCTCCCCATCTCGCACCCTCTTAAAGAGCCCTCCTCCTTACGCTCCTTCTCCCCCAATCCTTCCTTTCTCCCTACCTTTTTCACCTATGTTCTCATCATCTAAAGAAATAACGACAAAGCAGCAACATCAACACCATCGGCAACAAAAACACATACACTCAATAGATACAATACTGAAATCAATTTTTAAAGAATCAAAAAAAAAAAAAAAAAAA